TGAGATTGAGACAGATGCATCCAGCATAGGTGTAGGGACAGTTCTGATGCAACAAGGTAGACCGGTAGCCTATTTTAGCTAAAAACTTTCAAATAGAGCCCAATAATGTTTCATTTATGAAAGAGAGCTCATGGCTATTGTTATGGCCATTAAAAATTGGAGACACTACCTTTAGGGACATAAATTCATTATTCGTACTGATTAGAAGGACCTGAAATACTTGGGAACAATGAGTGATAGAGGAAAATCAATAAATGGGTATTTAAATTAATGGGATTCAAGTTCGAGATTGTGTACAAGCTAGGCAAAGAAAATAGAGCAGTTGATGCACTGTCAAGGCAAGAAGAATCGTTGGAATTAATGGGATTTTCTGCATGGCAGTTTAATGATGCTGAAGAATAGGAGAAGGAGGTGCAATTCGATCCTAAATTGAGTCAGATTTTATAGCAAATCATTACTGAAAAGAAAGGAGTGGAAGGATACAGCTTGGTACATGGTTGTTTACACTACAAAGCAAGGCTTGTTTGCCCAAAGGACTCAACCAGAATTCCTATGCTACTAAAGGAATTTCATGACTCACCAATTGGTGGGCATTCGAGGTACTTACGCACTTACAAGAGGCTGTCTAGTGTTGTGTATTGGGAAGGGATGAAAAGAGACGTCCAACAATATGTAGCAAATTGTGAGGTGTGTCAAAAGAATAAATACCAAGCTTTATCTCTCGCTAGCCTGTTGCAACCCTTACTATTCTAGCAAGTGTTTGGGAGGATATTAGCATGGATTTTATTACCGAGCTCCCTAAGTCTAAGAGGTTTGACACCATACTGGTAGTTATGGACAAACTCATAAAATATACCCATTTCTTCTCTCTTTCCCATCCTTTTACCGCAAAAGACACTGCCAAAAAGTTCACAACAGAAATAGTTAAGCTGCATGGTTTTCCTAAAACCATAGTCTCCGATCAAGATAGAATCTCTATCTACCAGTTTTGGCAAGAATTGTTCAAACAGGCTAGTACTCAACTTTGCCTCAGTTCAGCTTACCACCTGGAGTCTGATGGACAAACTGAAGTGCTAAATAGGAGCTTAGAGACTTACTTACATTGCTTTGCAAATGAAAAACCTACTCAATGGACTAAATGGTTATCATGGGCTGAATATTAGTATAACACTTCCTACTATGGTACAGTTAGTATGACACCCTTTAGGGCGGTCTATGGTCAAGATCCTCCTACATTCTTGAAATTAAGTAAGGAACCTTCAGTTATTGAAGATGTGAATGAGTAGATTTAAGGGCGAAATCAGATCATATCTCTTTTACGAGATAATTTGGCTAAGGCTCAAAGTAAGATGAAAGAACAAGCCGATAAGCACTGAAGGGATGTGAAGTTTGCTGTTGGGGATCTAGTTTATGTGAAAATCAGGCCTTATAGGCTAAAAACTTTAGCTAAGAGGTCAATGAAAAGCTAAGTCCCCATTTTTACAGCCCTTTTAAGGTTCTTGAGACGGTTGGGATGGTAGCCTACAAACTCGAATTGCCCCCTATAGCTCACATTCACCCTGTCTTTCATGTTTCTCAACTTAAAAAATCTGTCTATTCGGTGGTTTTGAATCCTACCATCCCTTCAAGTCTTTCTAATGAGCTTGAATTGCAAGTGCAACTTGAGGATATTAGGAAGGTTTGAAAGCTTTTGAATGGACAGCGCGAAGTGTTGTGAAATGGCATGGTTTACCTGAGTTTGAAAATTCTTGGGAGTGTGCCGACATGATCAACAAACAGTTTCCAGTTTTTTTCCTTAGGACAAAGTGAAACTTTTAAGGGAGGGTAATGATAAAACTCGTTATTTTCCTAAGACTTATATGAGGAAGACAAAGAAGGTGAATGACTCAAGTGGAAACACTTTAATTGGTCCAAATGTTTATCCTTCGGATCCTAGCCGTAAGGAATAGTGACTTATGATCTTGTGTGATGATTAGTATCTTTTTGAGCGGTATAGGCTGAGGGGAAGCCATGCTGTAACTATTAGAAGTCTTTTGCTGGTATGGGGGGAGGGATGTCTTTAGCGAGGGATTTGTGAGGAGAGACTGGCCTCTTAAACGCAAGAAGGAGTAAACCCTCTTTTGTGAGGTGTATAACTTGTAATGCTATTACTTGTGTGATCTTTTAGGAAAGATAGGTTTTTGGCCAGAATCAGAGGAAGTTTTGTAACTCTGATTCGGTTTCTCTCAAACTATTAATATCAAAAACCTCAATATTTTCCCCTCATTTATTGCTGTTTTTGTCTTTTGGTTTCTGTTTGTTGTGATATTGGTTTGGGTCATATTACACTCCTCCATAAGTTCATCAAAATTACTGAGGTTTCTGCATAGTAACCCCCAAAAGCTTAGCTTTATACGAAATCTGTGTTTTAACAGGTCCATTCTTTACTTTTTTCTCTACACAGTGGGTATGGTTGGAACTCCCACCATCATTGTCCAGCATAATTTCATCTTGAAGTCCTAAAGGGGCTTCCTCCATTCTAGTATCACTGTCGATCTTCTTTTTCCTTCTTGCCAAGGCATCTTCTCTTCCTTTGACATACCACCCTTTTCTTTACCTAATAAGGATCCAGTCGAGCCCTCTTGAAGGACACTGCTACTCGCATTCGCAACACCCGGAACTGAAACACTCGCTCTCGGAACAAGTGCATTTTACCAAAAGAACAGGTGCATCATAGAAATTTTCTCTAATTAGTAACTACATGAACGTGAATTTTGAAATAAAAAAAAAAAAGAAAATATTGTTTTATTTAATTTAAAAATAGGATCTTTCGTTCTTTTCATCAAACAAAAGGATCTGGTGTTACCGTGGCACTATTGAAGTATTGATCAATTCTTCGCTCAGAGTAACAAATGTAGTTGAAGTGGGTAATCCCACGCAATTTCCTGGCTTCGCTGGTTTTGCAGATTGAGCCGACTATAAATAAAGTAATCATAAATAACAAAAACGAGTGCGCCTATGAATATTTATATTTATTACTAATGATGACAATTAACTTAATCGACAATTTATTCTCTTACAAACTGAGTCACCTTTAGAAATAATTTCTGGCAGTTCGCAGCTTTCACACCCAATCAGCTCACAAAGAACCAAATTTGACATTTAACGTTTTCATTAATTGGAAGCACAAAACCATAAAACTTCGGCTGAGATAGCTGGTTCCAACATCATAGTCTATTGGAAACCAGAAAGCTGAATTTAACCAGCAAAGTTCTGCTCGTTTTACTTGAAAAGAAAAAGTGATGGGAACGCAGTTCTGTTTTCAGAGGAATGCTGCCCCAACAATACTCATTACTCACTTCCCTCATGATTGAAAAAAGACGATCCGAGAAAAGTTGGAGCGAAGGGCATAAAGTCGCATCGTGACAATCAAGTGGCTTCCTGTTTCCTAGTAGCAAAAGAAGCGTTTTTCATTTGGTGGCGCCTACGCAAAGTTGTGTAACTGAAAAAGACAACCGCGTCAGACAGAATCTTCAATATCAGTGGATTTAAAGGGCTCCCAGGAAAGAGGATCACTGCTTAGCTTCCTGGGTTCAATGCAATGAACCTTCATTGCCATCACAAAGGAATCAAAACTAACAAATAGGAACACTACTCAGTGGAACCTGACCTAATTTTTTAGAGCCTGTAGATCAGAGTAGAAAATAATAAGAATGCCTTATTGTCCGTGTGTCACAATTTCAGTGTTGACAAGCGCACTAAATGGAAAATAAGCACCAGGAGAAGAAAGTGGCAAAGAAGCAGCAGTATTGTTCACCTCGTGTTTTCCAGATCAATTTCTGAAGTTTACATGGTCTCTAAATACCAATACAAGATTTCAGTGTTCCAAGACAGAAGGCTTTGGAAGGAATTCCATGCCAAGAAACAGGAATTAGCTATAATGATTTTTTTCCAAAGGAGCATCTACAGCAACCTCCCGATTATGTCCCATGCATATCAGTTATTCTAAATGGAATAAATTGCAAGACAAAACGCAAGAAATTCATTAAGTTCATCAAGTTACATAAATACCTTAGTCGAAGAATTTGTAAAATGCAAATAGCCACCCTTTTCAACTTTGAGCCATTTGTGATCATTCCTTGACTTTGAAAAATTGAAAAAACATCTCCTTCGGCTATCACCCTTTAAAGTTTAAACCCCTTCGCCCATTTTGGCGTTAACTCCAAATTCTATCATTCCTTGTTTCCAGAGGGATAGGAGTGTATTACTTTACATATAATAGTGTCTGACATGATACCTGTTAACATGAATACTCACAGAAGCAGATGGTTCCAAAATCTAAAAGGCAAGGGTTGGTGGGAGTAATATTTTTTATGTTCAAAGTTGAAGGTGTTAGCAATTGGCTCAAAGTTGGAAGGGTGATATTTGCAATTTTCTTTTCGAGGAGAATTTTGATTGGTAAAGAGCAGCTTATTATATAAGGCCTCAAGAGACAAGTTTCAGAATCTTCGTTGAAACTTGGTTCATTTAAATATTCTCAACATAGAGTATGGTTTTTTGGTAAAGCAGACAATCAGATTTATGTTTCAGCTCGTTGAACTTTTACCTCAAGTGGGTAGTACCTGGTTATAATCTAGGATTCTGCTGTTTTCTTGTTTCCTTGAACTTCAAATATTATCTACACAAATTTAGAATAAAGAATCTAACTCCAACTTAAAGCTTTAAATCTCATGAATTTCCAATACTGAAAACCCATAATCCTTGTGTGTACATTTGACTCAGCCAGAAATTATTAGGTGCTGTTAGTCAAAACTCAAAACATTTAATTTCAACAAAAAGTAAATGGAATACTAAACGAAACCTAAGTAAACTTTGAAAAATCATATACCACAACCTAGGCAAGGAGATTCAACCAATCAAAGTTCAATTTTGTTAGGATTATCTCCAGACAAGACATAACTTTATAATTCCAACAATCCAAGTGTCCACAAACAAAGGACATGCTTGGCAAGATCATGTCATAGGAGGAAACTTGAAATTGCATTGAAGCAGTATGATCACATGGATCCAAATTCTATATACAAAGAGAGTTAAGGAGCTAGCTTCATGAAACTTCCAGTAAATAAAGAAGAAGGAGAAAAAAGAAACAAGAACAAGAAGCCCGTAGTAGGCAAGTGAAAAAGTTTGCAAAGAAGATGTAAATCACCAAATATAATATATTACATAAATAGTATAGAACATACATTTAGAATCAACCCGATACCGCATCAGTCCCACCAGAACCCGATGCCCCATTAACGGTAGTGGCAATCACCTTCTTCTTCTTTTCCTCCTCATAATCCAGGTCATCCGTTGGAAGCTCAAATCTGCATACCGGGCATGAATTTCTGGAGCCCAGCCAAGGCACTATGCAATCCCCATGGTACTGATGTCCACAGAGCAATCGCTTTGCCATGCTTCCCACGCCCACCATATCTTTACATATCGCGCACACCAAAACTTGATCCTCTGACACAATCTCCACCGTCGGCAGCGACTCCACCGCAGATTTTGCTGCCGGTGGGGCTCCTCTTCTCCCACTTCCATCGCTTTCTGCCAAGGTCAGCAGCAGAGCTTCATAATCAGCAGCATCAACATAATCTCCCGGGTTCCCAAAAAATCGATCCGAATCAGGCACTTGAAGTCTCAGTTCTATGGAATTGTCTTCAAGACCCATCAGTATATCAGCCCAATCCAAGATCCTGTTCCTCCTGCTCCTTGTGCCGGTTGCCAAATCTCTGATCCGACTGGTCAAGTCTCTGATCCGGTTACGCATGCTCCTCCTTCGCAGATCTTCTTCGACTTCGTCTCCACTTGGGTCCTCTTCTCCCAGCCGATCTTCATGCTCTTCGGCACCTTCGTGCTCTTCTCCTTCATCGTGAAACTCCACCCCATCATCTTCTTCGTCCTCGTCGTTGTTATTGTTGTTGTTGCTTTCTTCATCGTCATCCCAATCCTCGAGCTCAACCCTGAGAAAATCATCGCCTGAGGAGAGGTTCCGAGACGGAGGAGGAGGCCCATCTTCATCACGCGCTGACTCTGCAAGTAGCCGAAGCACTCGCAAAAACTGCGATTCAAAATGAGGATCGTCGATCAGATCAGAAGTCGCAGAGGGCGTAGCCAACGACGGCGAAGGAATCGATTCGACGAAACCACGCTTGCACTCGCGGCAGAGAATGTCAGCGCCCTCAGGATGCGTTTCTACTGACACACGCTTGTCGCAGTGGTAGCACCAGTACTGCGAATCATCGGATTCCGGCAAGGGCTGCTCAGGCGTCGGAGAGGGCGACTCGGCCATTTTTTGTCCGACGAGTAGATACTTAGATACGGCGGGAAGGGACCCACCCGAGTTTCGCTGAGAAGCGAGAGAATGAGTAGAAGCGTAGAGAGAGGTGGGGGGAGGGGGGAGGTTGTTGGGTGTGGAACGAGGATGATTAAAATTGACCCAAAACAATGGGCTCAATTATTTCTTAAATTAATTAATCAATCAATCATCGACAAGTAACTGCACGCTCAATCTGGATCGTTGATTTTGAGAATAAAGTCCTACCACTATAAAACAATCAAAGCAAAAGAAGATATTATTTGTGTCACAGACCCAGGGGAGAAAAAATGAAAAACCAAAATATTTCCAATGTTGTGCTACTCAATTTGCATGATCTGTTTTTTTTTTTAAGATTTGGATTGTTTGTTTCAGTTTATTTTATAAACAAAATATTTAATTTTTTTGAAAAAAATTATTTTATAACTTTTTATAATATTTAATTAAATTTTTTAAAATTATCAAAATAAAAATATATTTCTAATTATTTTAAGAGATTATTTTAAATAATTTCTAAAAATAATTTAATATGATAAATGAAAGAAAATGTTTTAAAAATTAGGGAAACACAAAGATATTATTTAATTTTAAAATAATTAAATAATAAATTATTTTTATAAAATAAAAATAAAAAAGATATCATAAAATTTAAAAATAAGTAACTCACTTTTTTATTGTTATAACCAAACATAAAATAAATTCTGTTTTCTATAAAATTTGTAAAAAATAAATTTCTTTTTATAAAATTTTTTAAATTATCTAAAAATTATTTATTTTTTAATCTTAAAGTTGGTTGAGGAGTATGAAATTAATGATGAATAATTGGAATTTATTCTATATTTACTATTAACTTAAGGTTATTTTTACTATAAAAATTAATTGTAATTTAGATTATTTTATTTTTTAATAAATTTTCCTATTTTAATAATTGTTTTTGCTTAAAGCACAAGCTAGCTTTAAGTTGCTTTTTTTCCGTGGCATAAAAAAGAAAAAAGATTTAAGTTGCTAAGGGCTTTGTAAATAGAGCAGGAATTATTATCATGGTAGACTTTCGATTATATAATTACATAAAATTAATATTTGATATTTGAACACTTCCTTCTGTTGAGTTTATTATGATTCCGTTCTTCTCGTTTTTTTTTTTTATTACTATTCTTTCTCATCTATTCTCTTTCTTTTCCCTCTCTGTTGAATTTAGAATTAATATCGCATCTAAGAAAAAGTGAAACAAGCTCGACATTTTAATTCAATTTAGTAATTAATGACTTGTGATGCGTTAATTTATTGTTTTCTTGTTGTTTGTGCTTCACAGCCATTTGAGAGAGAAGCACCATTTTTCAACAGTATCCTAAGACTTCCCGGATTGTGAGTTACTTCAAGCTTATCTGGCGAGGATACTGACGTTTTCTCCGCCAAATCAATTCCATTGACTGTTCATAAAATAATCATTTAATTCGTCTGCTCTATTCTCCAAACTACTAATTATTATATGAACAATATATCATTTTATGTTATACCTATATTCACAGCAAATAAAACCTCAAAATCAATTCAGTTCATTGTTCATAAAATGATTAGTTAGTTGTTAAAAAAATGATAGTTGATAAATCTTAAACTATCTATATTCAGTTAGAATAGTTTGATTGAAAAACTACATAGAATAATTACAATTTCCTTTTTTTAAAATGGACAAAAACGAATTTCCCTTTCGGTAACTTTGTTATTATTATTTTTTTTTGTTAACCTCATTTTTAAACGAGCGTATTACAACGATTGAAGGAATATACGCGCTGAATCTGCATCTTGAGTGGATACTTTTTTTCGGCCAGGAACACCTCAAGTAGATAAATTTTTTGAAATTTGAACTTTTGGTATTTGTTGAATAAATAAGTATTGGAGAAGAAATTAAAAAATAAAAAATCAATTATATTATATTAAATTATTAAAAAAACAATAATAAATTAGATTATGTTTCAACATACATCCATGCACGCGAAATTTTGTATAACTAACCTTTGGTGGAATGATCATTGATCAGTCCAACCTGCACCCAGCATTAAGGGTCAGAAAATGCTAAACAAAGTTCACCCACCAAGCACGCATCGCAACACCGAACAACAAATTTTGAGGTGAAATAGGTGCAAACGATATTAGGATTCTCATGCATGAGGTGAATCAAGGAACAAGTGCAAATAAAGGGAGGATATAACTTGCAATGGCAGAAAACAAAATACAGATACAAGCCCAATTTACAGCTCGGGGAGAAATGGATAAGATACAGATTATAGAAGCACCCACTTCACATCTCCAGATGTCTTCATCTCTAGATGAAACCAAGTCACCAACCTTCTTAAATTATCATAGCATCAGGTTCGCTGAAGTTAACTTTACAGCATTCAGGAAAATGCAACCCAGCCTCGTCACACCCAGCCTTGGTAACATGCGGGCAGGACCTCACATCCAAATATTCTAGATAACTGCATTTACCCAAAAGAATGCCGATACCTACCACAGTGATCTTTGGACAATTATTCACCTTCAGAACCTTCAAATTCAACGCAGCTTCTTCACTGCTTATAAGCTGGAATGCAGCATCTGTCACCTCTTCACAGCAACCGATGTCCAGAGCTTCAAGGCTCCTGCACTGATTTAATATACAGCTCAATGATGAGTCGGAGATGTTTAGACACCAATCCATCCTCAAGTTCTTAAGATTTCTTCTACCAGAAGCAGCCAATGACTTCATTGCATCATCAGAGACATCACGGCAACCGCCAATGATTAAGGTCTCAAGATTATTACAGAATTCGGCTAAAGATATTATAGTTTCATCCCCAATTTTATAGCAATCTAATAATTTCAGTGTCTTGAGAGAAGATGAACAAGCCTTGGAAAGGCAAGAAACCCCTACATCACCAACATTGCTGCATTTGTTGATGTCCAAATGCTTAATTTGTTCACAACCACTTGCAAGGCTAGTCAGTCCCTTATCTGTAATACTCATGCACCCTTGCAACTCCAACTCTTCTAAATTATGACAGTTCTCAGAGAGAGCTTGTAATATACCATCTGTAACAAACCTGCATCCCGCCAGATGCAGTATTCGCAGGTCAGGACACCCCTTGGCAACTGCTGATAATCCCTTGTCTGTCAGCTTTCTGCAGTACGATACATCCAAAGACTGCAATGCTGAGAGGTCCTCACCAATTGCAGCCAGTCCAACATCTGTGATCCCTGTATATCATTACCAACACAAATAGTATCCTGTCAATTTTGTTTTGAGACTTTCAAACTAAATAACCAGATGATATTCCAAAATCTTAGGGACTTAATATCACTACAATTTGATTATGTGAAATTTTATGATACTACTACAGTCTACACCTACCAGAATGCAAAATTTCCCTTCTTTTTTAATTCTTTTCCCCTCCATCTATTTATTTATATATTGCTTCTCCATCTGCATTTACAAATTACAACTGCGAGACCATAAAAGAAGGTCGGAAGAATAATCCCTTCACCCTTTAGCGTGCGGCCGTGATAGCATAGTATCTATGCTTGAAGTCATACATCACATGAAGATAGGTTCAGATATTAGACTTCAACATTTTCTGAACCAGGACTCAGTGCTTGAGGGTTACAACTTACAAGTCATCTAGTCAAGTGAGTGAACATAACGTGTCTACCAACAGAAAATGAAACCAATGTAACAGTGGAATAAATACTAAAGCATTATCATTACAACTCCAATTACCACAGACCATAGGGTGATGCTCATTGCTCAAGCTCCACAGGCAGTAAATACTAGAATTGACACTTCATCATCATATCGTCATAACAGACATAACGCGATAAAGAAAGTTGAAAATGGGAGTCAATATGAGTTCATTCAAGGATTGCAACCGCAAAAGAAAAAACATTAAAAAAAATAAAAGAAAAGAAGACAACCTTTACAATTATGCAAATTAAGAACCCTCAAGCACCTGAAGCCATTGGCGATAACAGAAAGGTCGGAATCGGTGACCCCTGGATAGAAGGAGCGAGAAATTGATTGAGAGAGATCCAACTCGACCAAGCGATTGAACCTGGCGGCCATTCGGCGGAGCATGTGGGGCCCAGCACGAGCAGCAAGCTTCTTCCTCTCCGTGCTCTGCAAGTGAAGCCATCTCTTACATACAAGCCCAAAGATATCCTTATCCTTGTCGTTGTCGAGCCTGGACAGGATGGAACGGAGCTCATCGTCCGTCAGAACGTCGTTTATGCAGAGGGCAGAGTCCGAAACGGCGTCGAACGAGGCCATTCAGGGAAAAACCGATCAAACCCTAACCCTAATTCTACCCCCAAATATTCGTTGAGGACTAATCGCAGCGAGATTAGCACATGAGACTAACAAGCTTAAAAGAAATAATGCCCGTGAATGACGAGTTCCAACTGATTTCTTCCGCTGTTCAGCCAAACGTAAAGTGCACATAAAGCTCCCGATCGGTTGAAACTGGAGTGAGACGACCCCCTTCTTCCTTTTCACTTTCACCTTCTTTATTTATTTATTTATTTATTATTATTATTAGTATTTTCTTTATCATTTGTCGTGCCTCCGAAGAAACTGAATCTCCCCCAAAGCGCACCCACTGAGAAATTCCACCTTCTTTAGTCCTTTATTCACACACTAAATAGGAGTAAAATCTGATATGCTGCATTAACAGAAGAGAGGAGGGAAGTAAATGATAATTAATTATGAAACTTATGTTTTGTGTACGACGCCCTAGTGTCTACATTCATTGATTTTAGGATGAAGGAATGAGATCCAAAAACATTTTCCGGCCAGAAAAGTGATCCTCCTTGGTTAAAGAGTCTGGATTCAATTTAATTAGTAAATTTTAATCGTTTAAATTATCCAGTAGAAAATAAAATAATAAATAAGTTCAAGTAATATTTATTTGTCCAAGTAAGCGTTCAGTCGGTAGGTCGTTTAAGGATCATCTTCATGCCTTAATTTATCATTATTTCTTGTTGGTTGACCACTAACCACTTCGCCTTCTCTTTTGCAATTCGGTGTTATAACATATTCAGTTTCACTTTGATGGATTGTAAAATTGATCATACTTTAAACAGTGATGGTGAATCATATGCATTTATTATATCTGGACAAACTTATCATCATATAAAAAGTTTACTACCTCCATTAGGAGCCCCTCCTATCTATTATCAACTCTACATTTATGACACAGAGAATGAGACACTTAATAGAATTAATGCTATCAGGTAATAAAAAAATAGACTCACGTTTTATGTATAATTCTTTCTTAATTTCATTCACTCTATGTGACATGCATTAACTTTGATTATTCTTTATTCTTACCATTACATGCAACATTCAAGGAAAATGACATTACAACCTCAAATTGTTCAGTATCTCAAAGATATAATTGATCGTCACAATTCTTTGGCTACAAAGTATAGAATGGCAAGAGACATATTACAAAAAGATCCAGAAGCTCATGTAAGGATATGCTTGCTTAGACATAACAAAAGAGAAAGTAGGAATTTTAGTTTACCTATTGCTTCAAAGGTGGCAGCTCTTATTGTTGGGAATTTTGATGAAATTTATTACAAGTGTGATATAATAGCTGAAAAAAGAGGCCAACTCAAACATTGATGAAATTCACAAGTCATACCTCCCTCTTCAATATTCTCTACTATTTTCTTTTGGAAACAATGGATATAATTTAGAAATACTGCATGAAAAAGAAAGTCTAAACCATACATCAAAGAAGAATACACTATCCATTAGGGAATACTTGTGCTATAGGTTGATGGATAAAGATGATGAAATTTCTTTGATTCTTCATGAAAGAAACTATTACAACAATTCATTGTTGATGGATATGCAATGTTGGAAAGCCAAAGATTGGATTTCATTAAAAATCATCAACAAAAATTTAGAGTGGATCTATATCAAGGTCTTTCATATGCTTTGTTCAGAGGTGAAACTAAAGCTGCTGCAACTAGAAAAAGGATAACATTGCCTTCATCTTTCACAGGAGGAGCTCAATACATGATAAAAAATTATCATGACGCAATGGTAATTTGTAAATGGGCAGGATATCCTGACATATTCATCACTTTCACATGCAATCCAGCATGGCCTGAGGTTAGAAGATTCTGTGAAAGAAGAATTTAACACCAAGTGATCACCTCGATATCTTGTGTCGTATCTTTCAATTCAAGCTAAACAAACTTATGAAAATTATAAAAGATGACAAGATTTTTGGCTCAGTGAAAGCAAGTTTGTACTTGAAATTTTTATGAATTTAAAATTTTATGTCTTTCAATTTTTGTCCCAATTAAAAATGTTATATCTTTTCTCACCAATCATTATTATATTCCCATTTCAAATATATATATATATATAATTGAATTTCAAAAAAAGAGGTCTTCCACATGCTAATATTATTCTATTCCTTCAAAATAAGGGTAAAATTACAGTTGTTAGAGAGGTTGATGAAATAATATCTGCAAAAATCCCAAACAAGGAGAGGATCCAATTCTTCATGAATTAGTAAGCAATTTCATGACTCATGGACCTTGTGGACATGCAAAGAAAAAATTTCCTTATATGAAAGAAGGTATATGCAACAAATACTTCCTCAAAAAACTTTCTAACAACACAGTTATTGATGATAATAGTTATCTAACATATAAAAGGAGAAGTGATAGGAGGAAGATTATGAAGAATGAGATAGTGCTAGACAACAGATACATTGTTCCTTACAATCCAAAGCTACTAAAGATGTTTCAAGCTTGCTTAGATGTTGAAAAGACTAATCAATCCACATCCATTAAGTATCTGTTCAAATATGTCAGCAAAGGCAATGATCGAGTCATTGATGTACAACAACAGTGATGACAACAACTCTCAGACAATCTTTGATGAAATTAGTCATTACTTAAATTGTAGATACATCTCATCATGTAAGGGGTGTTGGAGAATTTTTGGATATAACATTCATCATCATTTTCCTTTTGTGGAAAGGTTAAAGTACCATCTTCCAAATGGACAACCTGTAATATTAAAAGGAAATGCAAATGTGTAGAACTTGATGAATAAAAACAATTAGAAAATCAATGTTTTAGCTTGGATGGAAAATAATTCAGATCCTCATGATCTCAAAGCAAGAACTCTAACTTATTTTGAGTTCCCAGCACATTATGTATTTGATAAGAACATGAAGATATGGAAATCAAGACAAACGAAATTTTCAATTGGAAGAATTGCGCATGCATCTCCATCTCAGGAATAACAATATTATCTTCATTGTCTGCTTACTAAAGTCAAAGGCCTAACTTCTTTTGAAGATATAAGAGCTGTTAATAATGTTCAATACTTAACATTCAGATCAGCATGCTATGCTCAAGGACTTATAGATGATAACCAAGAGTATATTGATGCCATCAAAGAGGCTTCTATATGGGCTTCAGGGCATTATCTGATGAAATTTTTTGCAAATATGCTGCTCAATAACTGTTTTAGCCAACTTGAGTTTGGAGTCATATGTCTTACCTAATATACAAGGATATGTTTTACTCAAGTGACGCTAGACATGATGAAACAGGTTAGCCTCTAATCCTTTATTATACTAATGTTTAGCTGTTATGCTCCTTCAAACATTAGAAGTTATAAACAAAGAAGGACAAGGAATCTCTTCATGAATATGAATCTCTTGATGAGTATGTAATTTAATCGGCCAGTTCTAATAATATGTCTTTGACAAAAATACCCTTCAATAACATGAATGTGATTTGGAAAAAAATCATTTACATAAAAAAATTATTGTAATTCATGTATTTTTATACCTTCTCATCACATTTTAAAATTTTTTTAGTTTTGTGAACTTCATTATTTAGTTTTCTTTTTTTTCGAAAATTGAATACATAAGTAAGATAAAATACAAAGTTAAGTGAAATACTATTTCAAACATAACAATAAATTAACTATAGTGAGTATAATATTTGATACAATGATGACAAATTAGCCAACTTAATTACTGTATATCTTTTTTATTTTTCTTAATTTTAAAAACATTTTGAATCCACTTATTTTTTAAATACAAATTTAAAGAGACCTATTTTAATGTTACCATATTTAATGATTTAAAATTGGGAAATACAACATTAGGCAATTATATTTTCATTACCTTTTTGTTTTTAATTCATACAGCTTTATTTCATATTTGAAATCCATTTAGTTTCACATATTTACAATATTTGTCCCAATAATATTTCTTCACTTCAAAGTTTTTTCATTTCTAGCATCTATTTTCACCAATAAAGACAAGGAAAATGCTGCACTATCAGAGATTAACAAGATCCTTCTTCAAAATGGAAGGTCTCTAAATGATTTTCCTTCATTGCCTAAACCTATAGTTGTTATTGAAATGGAAACAATTAACCATCTTGTGATAGAAGAATTGAAGTTGATGCAGAGTTTTACAAGACCAAAACAACAATGTATGAACAAAAAATGACTGATGAGCAAAAAAAAACATTTATCATAAAATCATATCTACTGTTCAATCCAAAGAAGGAGGATTCTTCATATATGGTTTTGGAGGAACTTGGAAAGACATTTCTATGGAATGCTATAATAGCTTACATTAGATCCAAGAAAAAAATTATCTTAAATGTTGCATCAAGTGCTATTGCAGCAATATTGTTACCTTCTAGAAGAATTGCCCATTCAAGTTTCTATATTCCTATTGACATAAATGAAGATTTTACATGCAACATCATGCATGATTTTGCAATTGCCAACTGGCTGATATCCACAAATCTCATAATGTGGGATGAGGCTCTCATGATGAAGAAACACTGTTTTAAGCATTAGATAAGACACTAAAGGAGATAATGCGTTGTGATCAAATTTTTGGAGGAAAGGTCATTGTTCTTAAGGGAGATTTTCAGCAAATTCTCCCTATAATACCTAGTGGCTCTAAAGCAGACATCATTAATGCTTCAATAAATTCATCCTATCTATGGTATCATTGTAAAATATACAAGTTAACTATGAATATGAGGTTGCTTGTGTCAAATTCTGAATCAAAAAAGGTTAATGTACAATCTTTCTTAAATTGGCTTTTAAGCATAGGAGATGGCTCAAATAGTACTAAAGGAGATGGAAAATCAATCGTACGTATACCAGTTGAATTTTTAATATTTGAGTTCATTAACCCTTTGAAGAAAATTGTAAAAACAATTTATCCCCAAGTACAACAAAATTTCATACATGAAGATTTTTTCACTAGCAGGGCAATATTGGTGCCAACCTTAGAAGTTATGGATCAATTGAATAATTACATTTGCTCAATTTTCCCAAGGGACATTGTTACATATTTCAATTTAGACTCCATATGTAAAGTTGATCAACATTCTAACTGTTTTGATGATATTTACAGTGCAGAATTCCTAAACACTATTAAATGCTTAGGAATGCCTCAACACAATTTGACTCTTAAAGTAGGAGTCCTTGTCATGATTATGAGAAATATAGACCAGGCTAATGGATTATGTAATGGAACAAGATTGAGGATTACTTTGTTAGCAGACCACTGTATTAGGAGAATAACCCTGAATGGATCAAAATCAAGCGAAGAAGTCCATATTCATTGTATGGACTTGAAACCTTCTAAGGGAAATCTTCCTTTTCTCATGCATCGTCAACACTTTCCTGTTGTCCTCTCATTTGCAATGATTATAAATAAAAGTCAAGGACAGACTTTGTCAAGAGTAGAAATTTATTTGTCAAAACTAGTTTTTACACATCGTCAATTGTATGTTGCTTTATCTAGAGTTACATCAAAGCATGGCCTTAAGCTTCTTATTCATGATTCTGAATTTCAGCCATTGACATTTACCATAAATGTAGTTTACAAGGAAATTTTTCAAAATGTTGTATGAGGGGACAAACAAGACGTTTTATATTAAAGTTAAATAAATTTATTCATATTATATATTATTTACATAAATAATGCATTGTAAGAAAATTTTATTTAACCAATCTCCTTATTTGATTTTTATTAAAATCCCATTTTTTTCGCAACTCACTCATGTATGATGGAATCATCAAATATTAGATATTTTTAACCTTTACCTATAACTTACTATAGGGTTGAGAAACAAAGGCAAAATGTTAACAAATCAAATATCCAAGAAAGAAAATGGTGAATAGAATAACACTTAAAAATGTAGCAATCTCACATTCATTTTTATCAATAGTATCAATTATATTTTTTTTTTCAAATTTCTTAATTCTAACCCGTGCAATGCTTGTTGTTGTTGTTGTTGTAACCCGTGCAATGCATGAGCAAGAGTCTAATTATCATTGTCCTCTATTGGTTGACCACTAACCATTTCGCCTTCTTTTTCGTAATTCGGTGTTTCCCTTGACTTCTCTTTTGCTTTCAAAAATGACGGATTGGGTCTTTCAAAACAATTTCTCACATGTTATGGTTTTTCTGGGGCTCAATGGCAAGAAACAGCACAGTATAGTGTAGGCAGAACTACGTCTCGTTTGCATTATAAATGCACCAGTTCAACCATTACAGTCATAAGCACCATCAATCAAGGACGGCTGCTTTGAGAATGAATCAACTATAGGGCTTGTGAGTAAAAGACAGCCAAGAGCTAGTGAGAAGACTTGGAACGAGTGAGCACACACTCGTCAAAGAATTGGACAAGCTGAGAACTATACAGTTTTGGGTCATTTCTGAAGTGATCGACATGGGGTGAGGATACGAAATTGCATGCCCTCACATCATGCCCGGCCTTACGCTGTTTCTCCACAAATGATTCCACTGAACCTGCTGGTATAACCCTGTCCGCTGAGCTGTAGATGTATAACTGAGGACAGCTAGGTTGCTTTGAAGACAACATGTTCAAAACATCAGTGAGCCTCCTGCAAATATGATTTCACATTATAATCGTAGATCGATCATGCCATTTCATATAGAAGGTTGCTGCAGAATATTGTCTTCTAGTAAGAATGAAAAGATCCATGTATCTGTTAGGCAAAATACAAGAGAAGTAGGAATATAACCGACGAGTTGATAATCATGTTGAAGGTTGGTAATCTGTTTGGGAAGGTTAGTTCGTTAATTATTACAATGTATCAGAGAATAATAGTGACAATTTCAGATCATCCTAGCGTCTCTCTTCTTCCTACCTTCTATAAATAAGCACACAATGCCTCCCCCGAAGCAATTTATCGAGAATTAGTCGTCTCCCATGAATCAAAATTATATAAGATTAATTACACCTAGGTTAAATAACTCTGTGCTGGGACTTCTCCGATGCCAGCTTTCCAAACATCACATTCACTAAGCTCTTCAGATGTGAATTTTACTAAAGTAATTCATTAGTTTAAAATAAAAAGGGCATTGCAAAATATCACTGTTCTAAAGTACCTACTTCTAGTGCTTCTTAATAGAATCCTATTCCAGAAGTTCTTACAGACTTAATCCTGAATTCTCATCTTTGATTCAGTGAACTCGCTTTCTAGAAGAGTACTTGGGATTGGATGGTATCAAAGACTTGTGAGATGGGGATGGGACCAAATATCATCTTTTGTCAATTAATCAGAAAAATAGGAGTTAGTGTAGTAAATACCTATTCACCGCCGGAAGATTCAGAACCACCTTGAAAAATTTCTTAAGTATTAACAGCAAAGCTGCTTCAGTTGCTGCAGGTTCATCCCTGGCAAGTGATGCCTCGATGTCTTTATAACTTGAGGATGAGCTTCCTCTTGTAGCCATACTATTTTTCTTGAGAAATGCTGCAGAGAAACCTGAAGCCCAGACCTGAAAAGACAATCAGATGATTTATCATACCTAGCATAGGAAATAAACATTTTAAAAAGCGGGCTGAGACAATAAAAGAATAAAGGAATTATATGTCAATTCACTCTAATTTTTGAAACAGCCCGAGAACTTCAAGGGCTTAAATTGAAAAAAATCATTGCATCATATTTTCTGCATGAACCCCATTGGTGACAACAATAAACTGTTTTAAAAGTTCAAATCTTAATATATCCTTCATCAATTTATTGCAACTCAACAAGTGAATCCATTTGATAATTTTAGATTTGTGGATATACAGCACAGCACTGAAGCAGGAAGGACTCAGAGATAGTGATAAAAGTATTAACAGAGGAGAGGATAACAAACAGTTTACAAGTTGCCTTTGCAGCAAACTGCTATGTTTCGTAAAGAGAGCATTAACGCATTAACATCAATACAAATTGCCTGTGCAGCAAACGGCTATGTTCCGTAAAGAGAGCATTAACGCATTAACATCAAGAATATTAGAAAGGATGGCAAACAACATATGAAACATTCCCACAACAAAAGGCAAGTTCACCAGAATCTAACAACTGCAAGTCTTTACCTCTGGATCAGGGTAGGCAACAGGCGCAGAATCTACAATGCAGCCCCTAATCCTATTCGTTATCAACGGATCATGCTTCTGAAACAGCTCCAAAATAACCCCATATCTGCAGGGTTTACCAAACCAACCATACATTGACAAATAGCTTCCTCAAAAATAGAAAAAGTGAATAATAATGTGCATTTGCTTGTCTAGAGCAAAGAGCAAAGAATTCACTCACGTTAACCATCCAGTGTTGCTGAAAGTGTGAAATACTAGATTCTTTTCACCTTCCCCTTCCAGCCAGCCTGCCAAGTGGTCCACTAGCAACTGAACATTTTGTTCTGCTTTCCCTCCTGGCTGGTAACTTAGAACCTCGCCCATTGGAAAGGTAAACGTAATGGCATGAAACCCTCTTGAAGTGTACCAATCTGCATACTTCTTAAGATGCTTCTGCTTTGATCCCAACCATCCCAATAAAACCACCACTGTCCTTGATTTCTCTATTGAACAGTTGGAATCACCTAAAAGACCCGAAGCATTTACCTCAGGCAAATGCCATAGGTACATAACCTCAGAAGGTGGAGACGATATACTTTTGGAATATGCCAATGGCCTGGATGCTTTGGGCAAGCCAGCAGAGTGATATAAACTGTGAAGCAGTGGAGACGAAGCAACAAAAGAATAGTGCAAATTTGAAACGTAATCGGGGTCCAAAGTTGGCACATGGAAATATACATTAGGAACTGGCACTCGAATTCGGGTAACAAAAGAAAGGTTAGCAAGCTTAGAATCGGAAATATGAGAAACCCATGACGAACTTGAACCATGAATGGGATTAAAAGCCGAAGAATTCGCCAAATCCGTGGTAGAACAAACATCCGATGCACCACGAGATGGCAACGGCAATTTATCCGAGAGGTCAACAGAGAAAGAAGCCGCAGCAACAGCAGCAGCAGCTACCAGAGGACGCTGAATGGCCCCGGAAAACGAACTCATCGAAGAAATTCAATGCAAAACCTCCTAGGCAAAAAAAAATTACAACAATCAAATTTCAAGAAAACCCAGATCTCCCAGAATGTGCGTGAAAATCGAGACACGCCAGCGGGATATGAAAGAACAATGACGAACTATTAAGAAAAATCAACGAATGACAAAAGGGTAGGTGGAGTTGTATCAAAATTGAACAAGCGAATAAACTGGAACCGCATAATTTACACGTAAAGAAAACGCGCAAGAGAAGCCACGCAAGAATCTAGAACAGCATGAGGATATTCGATCGCACGAAAAGATTATTCGTACCTTGTCGTTGGAATCCCTCCAAGAAATCGGGCTGTCAACGTCGTTTTGACAGCCCGATTGGAACTCTTGACGTTCTCTCGACTACCAAGAGGATTCGTTCGTGCTTTAAAAGGGATCGTTATCAGCTTTGGCCTCGTGACTTCTGCTACCTGCCAGTGAATCCCAAAACTCGGCGAAATATTAGCCTAAACTATTGTAAATGTAGTTTTTTCCCTCAAAGAAATGTGACGTGACGCCGTGACGGCTCTTGATTAATTAGTCAATACAAATTTTTTATTACACACGTGCGGAATCTTTTTACAAAAACAAAAACAAATTGAACTTTGAAGTCAAAATTTTCAATTAATAGGAAAATTAAGGCCATTTGTTAACATTTTTATTTATAATTTTGTATTGTAGAGTTACTTTATCGTTTAAAAATATAAAGTATTTTTAATCGAATCTCACTTCAATAAAGTAATTATTTATTTTTAAACTAACCGTATCTTTTCATATTTATTTCTAATAAACACTATATAATAAATATAAAATCTCTATCAATATGGATACTTTTGAAAAAAAATAATAATTGCATCTCAAAAAACTAAAAATATCTTATATTTTTAAACATCCAACTCTTTTAAAAAATACCTTACATTTTTTAACGGAGGGAGTGAGTGAGATTAATTGGTCCATTTTAAAATCATATTCAAGTTTCCAGACATATGCTAGCATCACTCAAATTTATAAAATTAGGTTATGTTTTATAAATAATTTTTATACATATAAAATTTTTATAAAAATATAAATATTGTATTAAAACAAATTTTTTGGCCAAAATAATAAATCAAATTTTCTATAAATTTTAAAAGTATTTTTTTTCTGAAAAATTTAATCATTCCTTAATAATTTAAATTTTAGAGATTAACATGCTTCATCATCAAATTGTAATGGCTTAATTAAAATAAGATAGATTACAAGAACCTAATTTAAAAGAAAGAAAAAATAGAATGATTTACAGATTAATTTTGTTGACTTTTATAAAAAAGAAAAGATAATATACTCCTAACACAAGCTTTTATAAATAAGAATAGAGGGAGTGATACTTTTGTCCAGCGATCAATTGATGGAGACCTTAATTATTGAGGAGAATTTTTCCTGTCCATTGAAATTATTAGTTAAATAAAAATTAATATGCGAAACTATCATCAGTAAAACAAATAGTGATATTATGATTAATATTAATAAAAGAATTATACTACAAGTCACAATATCAGGCGTGTTTGAGTGGAAGACGCGTATAATTAGCAAATTCCCATACTTTGTCCAATTCTTAAGAGCGTGGGGAAAAAAATTACATACTGGCCGTCGAGTTTCGGGAGAGAGCGTGGAGAATGCTCCCCATGCCGCCAAGGTCAAATGGACGGGAGCCCCCGCCGCCAATGAAAAAATAACGAAGATACCAAACCAGGACAAAAAACACAGGCAATAAATATAGCATATTTTCTTAATGTTGGAAATAAATAACTATTCATGATGTCTAGAGAGAGTTATACCAAATATGTGGAACACTTCACTCGAGAAGTCACGCAAAAAATAGACTGCTTACTTGAATCCTGAGTAGACGCGAGAAAAGAATTCAGTTTTGGTATCTCTCCCTTCACCCAAACACCTCTATTTATAACTACATTGTGGATGTTTAATATAAAATGAAAAGTCATATCATATTAAATCCTATCTTATCATAAGAGGATGATTACAATATGATGAAATTCAGTTTCTGTGGATTCTATCCAAAATTAATCCTTGATTACAATCAAAACTAATTTAACCATGATTTAATATAATATAATATTCCCAATCAAGGACGGATATGGTATTTAACACTTTAAATTAGAAGCTACGGTATCCCATTTTACACCAACCTTTTTTTTTTTTTTTTAGCGTCGTCGTGTAATTTACTAATCTTGAGAGAATACTTTATGAGCGGAGTTACAAGTTTGCCCCTTTTCCACGAGGAGGAGTGCTCGAGCAGTCAAACAGTCAAGCCGGTGCACATGAAATGAAAGCTACCACGCCTCTTGCAAGCATGAAACACGTGACCTGAGGTTTTTGTGAAGACGGGGGAGGAGCCCGGTCAAAGGAAAGGCGGTTGGCGACCACCGACCACACGCCACCAAAAAAAAAAAAAAAAAAAAAAATGGGGCCGTCAAGCCATAAAATATAATTAAATTAATTAAACAGGACTCTATAAAATAATAAACAATCAAAAAAGTAAACTATACCATCTTTCCCTGATCTATGTAAATATATAATATAAAAAAAAACAATAAGCTTTACTGTTTATAATTATAAAAATATTTTTGAAACTATATTATCATTATTATTGCTGTTGTTATCATTGCACGCATAAAAGTAGGATAGCAGGTCACATATAAATGTCACGTGCCCTTTTTCAGGAGTGTTGTGATTCTATTTTTGAGATATATTTCCTGCAATCATGTGCTTTATATTCAAGTTTAAAATTAGATTTAGGATAATTTATTATTTTTTATACACTCAACGAACTTTACTATGTCATTGCTGTTCTTGTCAAGCTTCTAAATCAAAGCCTCAAGCTGGTCCTCGCTCAGCTTCAACCCTGGCAATTGGAGTAGAGACCCAAGCTCTGTCCTTGTTCTTGTTGAACAATCAAAAAATCTAATGTGTCATTATATTTAATGGCTTTATTTTTAAAATATAGTACATTTTTAATTTATATCTTTTATCTCTTTCTATCATTGTAAATAGTGAAATTAATTTATATTTACAGTCATATGATATGTTATGTTTTTATTATATAAATCACAACTGATATAATGCACTGGATTCATATAAGTTTTTTTTTAATATATCAATCATATACATTGATCATCAAGGCTAATGTCATATAATTAAAAGCCTAAGGGAGTCATATCCATATTACCCATATTCCGTATAATTTATTCTAGAATAAAATATACTAATAACCTTTTTATTTTACCTAGATTACATAAATCTTTATCTCTATTCTATCTTGAAAACTTGTATAACCCTTAATTGAAATTAAAATGTATGTTACATAAGCCTTTCTTATATATTTTTTATTTTATTTCCACCTAAGCAACTAGTAGTTAACCATCAATTTTGATTTTTAAACTTTTATTTTGATCAAATTACCCCTATTTAATATAAGTATTATCTGAATATTTACATTTGTCAAACTATAGTTTTTAATACAACTAAAAAAATTGCAATACATGCATTTTCGAACTTTGATTACGTTATAAAATAATTTTTTATATTATAAAATTTTATGATTTTAATTTTTACCAAATTTATTCAAACTTATTTATTTATGCTTAAAACCATTTTTTATATACCATATAATATAAAATGATGTACGTTTGAAAGACCTTATAAATCCTTTAAATTTATAAACACGTTGTTTGCTACAAACATTTACAATCGCAATTAGTTAAACATATATTTATTAAATAAAAAAAACTGATTCTCCAAGTCTCTCTTTCTCAGTTGCTTCTTTTCTTTTTCATTGCCGAATGAAATTCCTCTAACTGTAAAAATACTTAATAATACAATTTAGGGATTTATTAGAATAAGAGGTAAATAAGTAAACTAAATTTTGTTTCAATATAAATTTTAAAGAAAAAAACATAATCATTGGTCCATATATTTTTATCAGGTTTTACTTTTAGTCCTTACAAGCGTTTCAATGTTTTTAGTATACATAGTTTTAATAAAGTTGGGTAATATTTGTTTTTCAAATCTGTGACGATGTTAAATTATTGAGACTATAAGGACTGAAAATCTTGAAAAAGAACTATAGAGATTAAAAATAAAACTCAATAAAATTATAGAGACTAATGATTGTGTTTTTTAAAATTTTAATTTTAATTAAAAAATAAGTTTTAAAATCTTATTAGAATGTTCATATTGTATTCAATGAATTGGATTGTATTATATATTTTTAAAATAGAATGAAGACATATATGATTAATGCAAACTAAAATGATGAGCAATATATTTTCCTCTTTATTTTATTTTAATAAAATTGTTGTTTGGATAGAAAAGGGGGCTGAGCCCAATGTATTGATCAAATAAGAAGGCAGGGGGTAATTAAATCCCATACAATCAGCAAGCACTGAGTCCCTTAAAAGGGAGGGAGCACTATCTAAGTAGGAAGAGATGGCCAATGCCTCTTTAGCAAGATGGTCGGCAATCTTGTTTTGGTTTCTTGAAATATAGAAGGCTTATTGGGATTTGAGTAAAGGAAATCAATGAGGTTCTTACAGTCGAATTCAAAGATGACACTCTTAAGGTCCAAATCCCATGCAAGTTGGAGCCCTTTCAGGCAAGCCCAAGCTTCGGCTTCAAAAGGAGTGCAATGACAAACATTCAGTCCCAATTTGATATGTGGAATGATTTTTAATGGAGTGAGAATGAGAATGAGAATGAGAATAGAATTTAGGAACGAGAATAGGAATATAATAAAAAAATATGTCTAGTATGTAATGGGAAAGGTTAAATCTTTTTATTTAATATTTGTAATTATAATGTTGAAATATCATTTTAACCTTATTCTTTCATTAAAAAAAAAATTGATGAAGCCTACCACATCAACAATCCATCATCCATCGATAATTAAAGACCCCAATAAAAAATAATGATCCAGGCATAAATAGTCAAAAATCCCAAATCAAAAGCAATGAATACAAGAACAAACAACCAAAACCCCGGAAAAAAAATAACCAACCATTGTTAAAAACTGCAAAGTGAAGACAATCAATGATATCAGAAAAATAAAAACCCAAATTGAAAATGATGAACCCAGATCTTGGTGCTTTTGTTTCTGGGTAATGGCTCACGAAGACATGCTTGAGTGAAGAGAGCATTATTAGAAAAAAAATAAACACACCATCCCTCCTCACTCTATTTTATCCACCGACTTCTTCTCACACGAGCTTGTCACATCATTGCTGGCATGGTGGAAGATCTCAACAATGAGCAGTAGGAAAGGCCATTTAATGAGGAGCGAACGGATTAGAGGAACAAGGGCGATAGAGATCTTCAATAGCAACAAATGGATGAGGGTAATGACAGTGAAGGGTAGTCGAAGATGAAGGGTGACTGGGTGAGACGGAAGAGAATGAGATATTATGGTAGAAGTGAGTGGGGTAACTTTGTCCATAAAATTAATAATCAAGGACACTTTTGTCCAAAAATACTCATTCCTATGGAATAGCCTCCATTCCCTTGGTCTAGTGAAAGATTGTTTATTACCTCATTTAAGGTAAGAGGCCAAACCTTGGCAATAAATTTTAGTCCTACCAAATAGTCAAAGTTTATGAATCCCTTTTCTATTCCTGTTCAATCCAACTCATTCAATCAAATCAAACATGGCTTGCAAGTATACCCTGCTATCCAAATTTCATTGTGAATTCTCTAAACTCCACCACACCTAGCTTGGAAATCAAATTGGAAGGTTGCACCATCCATGTTAATTTTAATCCATTCGAGAGGGGGTGGATGTAACACTTTAAACGTTACACCTTTTTTTTTTTTGCAATTTATATAACTTCATGATGAATTTTATCCATTAAGTACATATAATGGTAGAAGAGTTCTATCATAATATTAAAGAGTAAAATTACTTTTTAAATACTACCATGATAAATAAAGATTTATTATGATAGAAAATACTTTAAATAATATTTTAAAACCTTTCCATGATAGAAAATAGGCTACCATGGTAACTAAGAGTCGGAATTATTTTTTATAAAAGCACACTATGTTAGAAAGATCTTTTCTCACAAAAAAAAACACATTCTTTTCAAATTGGACTACCGTGTTAGAAAATATTAAATATAATAAAATAGACTTATCATGATAAATAAAGAAGTAAGTAACTTAACTAATTTGTATTAAATAAAGTACAAAGTTAAATCTATAAATAAAATAAATAAACATATTCTTTTTTAAAAATCATATTAGAGTTTTGGTTGGATTTTGGATTTAGTGAATCCAAAACTAGGCTTAAGTTAAAACATTCACATAAAAAAGTATAAATTTTAAGGGTTATAAAATGTTGGGTCTAGAGAGGATAAAATAACAAACTCTATACTACTTATTTGTAATTTCTTTTAGATGGAGGGAGTGCATATGCCCCCTTTAATTATATGTGGCTTTGCCACAGTTTGGGCATCACCTCACTCAACATCTCTTAACTAATTCACACCAATGAACATGAAAATGATGAACTTTATATGCTTGCTTTAGATGCATGCCAATTTTATTACATTAAAGATGAAAAACATAAAGACTAGAATGAAATTGTTCATTTAAAGCCTTGAGATCTTTATGATGTGGGCGGTAATGATGCTGATACGATGATAATGAGTCATACCAACCAAATAACTTGTAAGATTTCTTATTAGAAGAAGATGATCACTTACCATTAGTTAGGTAAAATTCTATTTTTAGAGTTACAATGTTTAAAAAAAAAATTCATGTTTTATTTATATACTAATAATATTGTAACAATTTTAATAGAAACTTGGATGGAGAATGACGTCAATAGAAGCCAAATAATTTGATTAAATGCTTAATGTATTTTAAATTCATCGAATGTATTAACATTTGAGAAAATATGAATGAAATAAAAAAAATTAATTTTCAAATTTTCAAAGCGGTTCACCAAAAGAAACTGCTACTATATTTTTTTTATATAATGGTTCTAGATAAAAATTGCTACAATATTTTACATTTATAGTGACTCCAAACTCAAACTGCTATAATAAAAAGTTAAAAATCCATAGCTCATGTTGTGGCAGTTTGGAGAAAATCACGACAATTGCTATTTGAATCGCTCTGACCTTTGAAGTCTATAAAAACTCGCAACAACCCCTCCCATTTGCTCGTTTCCTTTGTTTCACCCCTCTCCTCTCCTCTCCACTAATCAAGAGTCTTGGTAATTTTTTTTTTCTTATTTAATTTATTTCGTTTATTTCATTAACAATATTTAAATTATTTAATATTTTTATTTCATCTAAATTTTTTCTACCATTTAATATCTAATCTTCTGCTTCTTGGTTTTTTTTTCAGGTTTCCCAACTCAATATCCCAAATTTATTTTTTATATTTTAATTTATAACACTAAAAATAATTCAATAAAATATATTTATCCATTAATATTTTAAATAATATTGGTTAAATAATATACTAAAATTAAAATAGTCAATAAAATTTATATATTCAATTAAATATAATTAATTATATTTAATAAAATATACATATTATTAAATAATAAATATTCAAAATAAATTATAAATATAATATAAAAAATTAAATAAGAATTTTTAAAGAAAATGTAATAATAAAAAAAAATAAAATATGAATTTTTAACAAAAATAAAATATTAAAAGCTGTTTTTTTTAATAATGTAGCTATTTCGCAGCGGTTCCTGAACTGTTACCAACGTTGGTGGATTTTCTGAAATTTTTACGCGTCACAAGGGTTCTATAAACTGCTACCATGTTCACGCCAAAAATTCAAAAAGGTGAACAAAATTTTGAATCATATTTCATTTTGGCTCGGGCTTAGCGGTTTGCAGTGTTTTGACTACGATGGTAACAGTTTAGAAAATAGTTACTGTATACCTAATTACGCTTTGTATAGTAACGGTTTGCCAAACAATTACTAATATCATCTGTAGTTATTTAAACTAGTACTAAAATAGTTCTAAAACTGTTATTAAATATTTTTTTTGGCTAGTATATAAGTATTCCCCCAACAAGTGCAATCCTCTCTGGCGCAAGACATCATTTTTGCGCCAGAAACATCTTACTTGTGTGCTAACACCTTTTTTGGCCAGCCTTTCTCTCTTTTTTCTTGGTTGTGAATAGAGTCGGAAATAAGGGCCGGGCTTGACGGGTCACCCATTTAAGCCCGTTTTAATAAGGGTTTGGGCTTAAAAATTTAGCATTTTTTAGGGTAACCGGGCTTGAAAGCCCGGCCCTTTTAAGCCCTAGAAAAACGGGCTCGGGCCCGGGCCCGGGCGGCCCGTCAAACCCGTTTTACTATTCACAAAGTATTTTTTTTACCTCTTTCCAGATAATGTGCAAACATTGATTTGTATTTTGTACCAACAATTGTTTAAATTGTTTTGTGCCATTTTATAGTAATTTTTATATTTTATCTTGTGATATATGTATAGATATATATTTGATAATAAAACAATTTAATTAATAATTATTGTAGGTGATGATGAAGAAGCTACAGAAATAATTAATATTGAGTCTCCGCCTTTATCTTTCACAAGTAGACCTACATCTAAGGGTTTTAATATTTTATTTATGGATAATAATGAGGGAGATCTTGATTAGGATTTATGATGATGTTTGCCTTCATCTTATTTGGACTGTTAATTTTTTTGTTCATTTTTTAGATTATGTGAGACTTTGGTTTGATATATGTTAAATTTTAAAATATTTTAAATAAATTTTAATGTTAAATTTTATTTTATTTTATTTTTATCCGGGCTTACGGGCCCGGCCTTGAGCGTTATAAATAAGGGTCAAGCTTCAATTTTGAGGTAAAATTGAGGTAACCGGATTTTAGGGCCTAGGCCCATAAGGGCCGGGCCCATATGAGCTCGGCCCGCCCGTTTACCAACTCTAGTTGCGAACACTGAATGTCTAGACACACTAGTATTATATATTTTGATTTGATTTGATTTGTTTTGATATCTTGACCTGAACTCTTATATCACTGAAATATGCCTGTTTGTTTTTTGGGTATTTTTTAATGCAAAAAAATCACTTTTTATGAAATTTCATGATTTTTATTTAATATTTTAAAATAGTCATGCTCTAAATGGAGCAAATGCATTTGATTATTTTTTAAAATATTTTGGGTAACTTTTAATAACAGTTAGAGATAGTAAATTAGAGAATATACGCATGAAAATACAAAGATTCAAAAAATATCATAAAAAATTTAAATTACTAAATAAATTATTTTTACAATTTTAACAAAACACAATAAAATTTTTAATTTTAATATAAATTGTTTTTCATAAAATCTATCAACTATTTAAAAATGACTTTTTTTTTAGTTGAAACATACAGTATGAGAAAAACAAAAACTCTCCTTTGAAGCTTCAATTCCGTTCCCTAGACAAACGGGGCCTAACCGAAGAGCACTGCATCGGTTACTTACTGATAAACTAGGGTTTTTCTCTCATCTTCAGCCCAACCTGCGTTTTCCAAATCGCAGACAGAAATCTCTTCGTTCCCATCAATGGTTGGAACCCTTGAAATCGGAGCTGTACCTTTCAATCCAGATGGATGGGGTCCACCTGACGCCGCCGCCAGCAATCTCCCGGTGAATGTACCCTACGCCCCATTCTCTCGCTCAGACAAACTTGGTCGAATTGCTGACTGGACCCGCAACTTCAACAACCCTACACGACCCAAGAACCCGGCTGACGCCGTATTCGACTTCACCATCGACGATTCCTTCCCCGCCTCTGCCGACGATGATTCCTCCTTCCGCCTCGTCGACGGAAAGCCCCCTCCGCGACCCAAGTTTGGTCCCAGATGGCGGTTCCAGCAGCAACGGCAGCTTCCTCAACGACGTGACGAGGAGGTGGAGGCCCGAAAACGTGAGGCTGAGAAGGAGAGGGCACGCCGCGACCGTCTCTACCATCTCAATAGATCCAACGCGAATAACACGCGTCGTGAAGCCGCGGTCTTCAAATCCTCTGTGGATATCCAGCCCGAGTGGAACATGCTGGACCAGATACCATTTTCAACCTTTTCAAAGCTGTCATTCGCTGTTCCTGAACCCGAAGACCTTCTTCTTTGTGGTGGGCTTGAATACTATGACAGGTCGTATGATAGAATTACTCCCAAGAACGAACGTCGGCTCGAGAGGTTTAAGAATAGGAACTTTTTCAAAGTTACTACAACTGATGACCCAGTGATCCGAAGGCTTGCTAACGAAGACAAAGCGACAGTTTTCGCCACTGATACTATTCTTTCAACGCTCATGTGCGCACCCAGGTCTGTTTACTCATGGGATATTGTTGTTCAGCGAGTTGGGAACAAGTTGTTTTTTGATAAGAGGGATGGGTCGCAGTTGGATTTGCTGTCCGTCCACGAGACCTCGCAGGAGCCATTACCTGAGGCTAAGGATGATATTAACTCAGCCCATTCATTGAGCGTTGAGGCTGCGTATATTAACCAGAATTTTTCGCAACAAGTTTTAATCAGAGATGGGAGTAAGGTGACTTTTGATGAGCCTAATCCTTTTGCAAATGAGGGTGAGGAGGTTGCTTCTGTGGCTTACAGGTATAGGAGGTGGAAGCTCGATGATGACATGCATCTTATTGCGAGGTGTGAAGTTCAGAGTGTTGTTGATATGAACAATCAGAGGTCCTTCCTCACTTTGAATGCATTGAATGAATTTGATCCCAAAATTCTGGTGTTGAATGGAGACAGAAGTTGGAGACACAAAGGGGTGCAGTCTTGGCTACAGAGCTGAAGAATAACGCAAATAAGTTGGCTAAATGGACTGCCCAAGCTCTGTTGGCAAGTGCAGATATGATGAAGCTGGGTTACGTTTCAAGGGTTCATCCTCGTGATCATTTTAATCATGTGATCTTGGCTGTAAATGGTTATAAACCCAGAGATTTTGCCACTCAAATTAATTTGAACACATCTAATATGTGGGGAATTGTGAAGTCGATTGTGGACTTGTGCATGAAATTGAATGAGGGGAAGTATGTTTTAGTGAAGGATCCATCTAAGCCCCAGGTTAGGATCTATGAGGTTCCAGCTGATGCATTTGAGAATGACTATGTGGAGGAGCCACTGCCTGAGGAGGAACAAGTTCAACCTCCAACAGAGGGTGGTGATGGTGGGGAGGCAACTGCCACAGCTAATGATGTGGAAGATAAGCAGATTGATGATCAAGCTTAAATGGTAATTATCTGAAGCTCCCTTTCATCTAGAACTACAGGTTCATGACCTATTTATATCTTTGTATGATATGTGCAATGTGATTGTGTTGTTTCGACCTTGGTTTTTGGGAAGTTGGGGTCACAGTATAGCCTTTCTTTGCAGGTTAGTTTAGGTCATGCTTTGAGCCTTGATTTCTTGTGTTGATGGGTACTTTGATGAGGTTTGCACTTTTTTTTAGGCGTCTTAGTTGTAATAAGTTGAACTTGTACCAAAGTTTGGTTTTGATTCATGATGCCTTTAGATTCAATGTTTTTCTCTTCTTATTATTTGCACTTTGTGGATTATTTGTTGATTTTTGTTCAAGAAATTGTTTTAACCTCTCATCTACGAGAGAACTTAGGAGGTGGTTCAAAAATAGCTTCTTCATCTTGATGAAGCAGGACTTTATATTGAGGATTACTTCATTATCAAAGTTTTCCAAATGATGCACTCTGAAGATCATTTGGTTTTTGGTGCTACGAATACATGTTATATGTGTCTGCACAGCCATATAGATGTGTTTGAGTCTATAGGCTATGATTGTGGATTGCTTGATTTAGTCACTGGAACTTTTGTGACATGACAAAGTCTTTATACATTTAATTTTTTGTGGAAAGAGGTTACCAGGCTCTAAGTTTCAGGGTGATACCCTGTCTGTTTCTGTTATGATAGAAAGAGATGAAGAGAGAAGAAGAAGAAAGATAGGTAGACGAGAAGGAGAGAATAGAGAGACGAGTAGACGAGACGTTCTGAATAGTACGTTTTTAAAATGAGTTTCAACAACAACACTGTGCATCTGGACTTGGGTATTTATAGGGCTGGACCATTAGACTAAATATTAGTAACAGTACCGACCCAAAGAAATAACATTTATACCCCTGCCCTAACTAATCCTAATATTTTCATATCAGTTTCTTTGCTCTAAGGGTTGAGGGCTAGGCTATGTTTGGATGCAGTAGTGAAATTTTGAATTTGAGGCATTCTATTCCCTGTCTTAGGAGTTCCTCCCATTATTAAGATCCCAGCATCTATGTTTAGTAACGAGTGAAGCTGGAACTGCCTGTAGTCCAACTTATCTGCAAATCAACTTCTACTAATCAGCTACAAATCAAACATTCAAACTAAAAGCCTAATGTTTAGATTATATTTGAAACTAATTGAAATTATTGTGTCATTATCTCTCCTATTTACGGAATCAGGTTAATTAATATTTCCTCATGAAGCATTTTGCATAAATTGGAACTAGTTTTTTTTTTTTTTCCAAGACCTTTTGGGCCTTCATAGATTATCGATGAGTGGGCAATGCATGCACTTGACCGTCTTTTGATGTGTACTATTAGTTATACATAAGTTGGACATGTTATTTATCAAGTGGCGTTTTGTGTTGAGTGCAGGAGATAGCAGGTCCAGAATTTTTTTTAGATTCTGGACATTCACTTGAAAGCAGATTAGCTTGCCCTTCCCCAGATTCGTTGCACGGCAGCTTCGCTTGGACCAAATTTTTGCAAAAGCCTTGGCTTGACTTTGAGTTTTTTGTTATTTTTTAAAATTAATTTTAGGGATGTTACAACTATTTATATGGTTGCTGGGCATTCAGGAACACGTTTGAGCGGAATCATAACGCTTTAGTCGTCCAAACCAAACTAGCAGTCTGCTTTTTCGATCACAATGTGTGATATGGCTGATTGGTTGTCCTAATGCACTCTGTCCAGGATATGTTGTCAAGATAACCCCGCTATTTTACGTATATCTTGCATTTTTGTTTCCCCCAATCATTGTTATCTGTGGCCATATAAAGAAGAGAAGCCATTGAGGCTCAATGGAATTTTCTGGATAAAACTCGACAACTCTTCTTTTCATTTAATATGAGGAGAGTAGTGAAGTTGGAGAAGCTTAAACTCACCTCCCTGTCATGTGTGCTAGTAGAAGGATATGTCGTTGAGGTCGGTCTAGGTGGCCGCGTTGAATGCCAATATGGTTGTTGATGCGCAGGAGTAGAAGGAATGATGACGATGACTCCTCCGGTGGCGGCAGCTTGAGAAGAGCAAGAGTGTAATAGAAATTAAAGCTAACCTGTATCCCATCCCATGAGTCCCTTGCACATTTTTATTTCATAGTTTTGCCATTTGAGAAAGGAGCTCAAAAGTGATGGTGCGATTGGGCTGTTGAGATGGGTTCCGATGGTGATGGATTGCGAACTAGAAGATCAAGACAGAGGAGACCGAAGCTAGGGACTAAAGGGGGTGGCAGTGCTGGGTAGGGGTTGGTGTGGATTGACGAGTTGCAGATTGAGAGCTAAACCTAAAAGATAAGTTTGGATTTCAGAATCTGATGCTAGGAGTTTTGATGGAGTTGAAATCCATATAGCATCAGATTCCTATGTATCAACCTCTCCAAAATAACATTCCTATTCTGCCTCCATTTCCCTTCTTTTCATTCCAATGTAACAAATGTGGCCTAAGGTGCCGGGGGAGTGTGTTCAAATCAAACGGTATCTGGGGTCTCTTCATCTTTATTTTTCTCATAAACGAGTTCTGGAATTTGGGATTTGCAGATGTGTTCTCGCTGTATTGCACCTTTTTTTTGGGAGAATAACATTTAAGGTTGTCTTAAGAGAATTTATATAATAAAGGCTCATCAGTTTTGGATTGAATATTGTTTATAAATGTGTGTTTGTGTATAAGTTATTGTTAAAAGTTGAATTTTAACTTATTAAATTTTTAAAAAAATCATAACGAAAAATATAAGTTAAGATCTAGTTTTAACAATTATATATACGCTTTTACAAAATAATATCAGGTGCAAAAATTAATGAGACTTTACTATGATAAACTCTGAGGGGGTTTTAAATATCATTATTTTTTTTAAAGTGTTGTGTAACACTCCAATTTTAATTTTCATAATTTAAGTTATGCTAGAAATTGATTTGTTGAGTAAATTGATATGAATTTATTAGGTAATTATTTAAGGAAAGATAATTGGGTTCCGATGGTGATGGATTGCGAACTAGAAGATCAAGACAGACGAGACCGAAGCTAGGGACTAAAGGGGTGGCAGTGCTGGGTAGGGGTTGGTGTGGATTGACGAGTTGCAGATTGAGAGCTAAACCTAAAAGATAAGTTTGGATTTCAGAATCTGATGCTAGGAGTTTTGATGGAGTTGAAATCCATATAGCATCAGATTCCTATGTATCAACCTCTCCAAAATAACATTCCTATTCTGCTTCCATTTCCCTTCTTTTCATTCCAATGTAACAAATGTGGCCTAAGGTGCCGGGGGAGTGTGTTCAAATCAAACGGTATCTGGGTCTCTTCATCTTTATTTTTCTCATAACGAGTTCTGGAATGTGTTGGATTTGCAGATGTGTTCTCGCTGTATTGCACCTTTTTTTTTGGGAGAATAACATTTAAGGTTGTCTTAAGGAATTTATTTATAATAAAGGCTCATCAGTTTTGGATTGAATATTGTTTATAAATGTGTGTTTGTGTATAAGTTATTGTTAAAGTTGAATTTTAACTTATTAAATTTTTTAAAAAAATCATAACGAAAAATATAAGTTAAGATCTAGCTTTTAACAATTATATATACATGCTTTTACAAAATAATATCAGGTGCAAAATTAATGAGACTTTATTATGATAGATTCTCTGAGGGGTTTTAAATATCATATTTTTTTTTTAAAGCTTGTTAACACTCCAATTTTAATTTTCATAATTTAAGTTATGCTAGAAATTGATTTGTTGAGTAAATTGATATGAATTTATTAGGTAATTATTTAAGGAAAGATAATTTACACAATATATGTCAAATTATAAGGACATAATACCAGTCGTAATTTTTTTTAAAAAAAGGAGAAAATTAATCTGGTTGAATGGAATCAAATAAAATTTGGTAAATTATTTTTCTACTTAAGAGAATACACTTATTTAAATATTAAGAAAATTATATTTGAGTGAAGATGCAAATTAAGTTTACTCGTATGAATGTTATAAGAGCTTTAGAAATTATAGAAGATGATTGGAAAACTTATTAAGCCATGATATAAGAATTTTGGAGTAAATATAAAATTATATAAAATAAATTCATGTAAAAAGGGGAGGGGGAGAAAGAAGAGGAATTGAAAAAAAAAGAAGACGAATGACAAGTAAAGATCTTATAAGATAGTAATATCAAATTAAAAAATTTTAGTATTAAAATATGGTAGAAGGAGTATTGAAATTTTAGAACATCAGTGTTGAAAGGTTTTAATTTAAACCATTAATGTTCTTACAAGATTCTTATTTATTATTTTTTCAAAAAAGAAGGGGGGCCTCCCACAATATAACATGCACACTTCAAATATATACTCCATTCGTCTTCTTCGGCAACAAGGTAGAGGAGCTCGCATGTGGAAACTCCATTAATGGTTCAGAAGGATGCAAACTGCAGTATTTCCAGAAAATTAATTTATTCCTAGATTCTTTGGTTGCAGCAAACATGATTTTTAGAAATTGGTGTGCTAATTTTGCCATCAGGAATGAAGTGACTATAACTCGAGAACTTATCTATAAGGATTAGGATGTTACTGTCAAACAAACATCTAGAGACAATTTGAGACATGCTAACTATATAGCAAGTACTACCCATAGAGTAAGGGTAAATATTGAATTAATTTAGTCTGTCCTGTGAGTTGTCTAGACTTAATATTGTCTGATATGAGTGCCTCTTAATTACATTCCCTATCTTCAAGCCTCATCTTGCCTTTGTATTAAAAAAAAAAAAGAACTATTAATGGAGTTTCAAGAACTTCTGAGTTTTTTTTTTTTGTACTCATAATGTCTACAAATCATAAAACTCCCTTCATAAATATTATTCTATGTGACAAAAGCTTCCTAACGATAAGAATATTGTGAGTAGTAGAGCAATAAAGCTCAAAACAAGTATCGAGTTTCAACAATTAGGAACCTTATAATCATTGAGATAAGTGAGTACTTAAATATAATTGTTTTAATTTGTTAAATAAGATTGAATTTTTACTTGTAGTTATGTTGAGATTGATCCTAAGAATAAAAGAGGGATCTTGATTTTTGGAGTTAGTTAATACTTTGAAGGGAAAAACTTATATATTTAATCTTGTATATTTAATGTGCTTGTTTTTTATTTAATCAAGATATGTGCATTTTCTATAGATTATTTATTTTATAATTTTTTTGTAAGTATTATTAATACATTAAAATTCATTTATCTTAATTTGATTGAATAAAGTATATTTAGTATATAAGGTTAAGTATCTAAGTCTTGCCTTACTTTGAATTAGGATAATTGGTTATGGGCTTAAAAATACTTATTAAAATTTGATTGTGTAGTTGAATCACAAGTTTAAATGCTTTTTTCTATTTATAGGAGAATTTATGCAATTTTTTTGAGGTAATTTGGGTATGAACAATCTGGACAATGTTTGGCTAAAAAAAAATATTTCTGTTAAAAACTTTAAATAATAATGATCTATATTTAAATTTTCAAAATAATTAAGCTTGATTTATTTTCTATTGAATACTTGAGATTATTATTGTGAAAAAGGCTTTTTGACATAACTATGAAAATTGAAATTTGTAGGCCTTCTAATAGTTTAGGATGTAATTTGGGAATGAATAAAAGATTATAAAATGTTTAGAATTTGCAAAATTTATTTGGTATGCTTACATGGAAATTTTAAAGGAATGATCAAGAAATTGATAAGAAAATTCGAGGTGAGTGTGTATTGGATATTGAGCTTTAAATTGGAAAATTTAGGTGTTTGTGATGAATTAGCATTGGATGGTAATTTAGGGCTCTAATGAAGTATTTGGGGTTGTGATAAATTGAATTTAGATTGAAATGAGAAATTGATGTTAAGACAAATCTTGAGAATTTGGATTTAGAGTTAATTTAATTTAACTCTTTTAGCTTTGTTTTAATTATTTGTGATATGGATTATGTATATTTGCAATTGTAAGAGATATTTAGTACATGAAAGCACCCAATGGTTGGTAATTGTATCGTTAAGGTGAAAGGTAATATTAGATTATTTTTTCTTACAATGGGATATTTAGCGTTTTATTAATATGTATAAATATTTTTTGTTGGGAATGCTGTTGCACCCATTGAAGGCTTATTGACTGCTTTGTCTCGAGAAGATATTTAAACTGTTTAGCATACTTGTTAATATTTGAAATCAAGTATATACTACCTTATCCTTTTTGGCTTGCTAATTGTTGTGAAATGCTGGATATTTGAGAAAATTGCCTGTTTTCAAGCATGTTTTGGTGGTTAAAATTTTTATGAAATGAGTTTAAAGCTTTCAAGCATGCTTGATTGACTCTAAATATATGCAAAGAAGAAATAAAGTGGTTGATAATTGATGTGATGACTATATATAGGAGATTATGATTTGGTATTCTAATTGTCATGTGGTACACCACCACTATGTTTATAGTGGTTGGCTTTTCTCTTGCAATCTCTATTACCCTAGTTTGGGTCTTGGGATACCTTCTTTTAAGGAGGAGAGTTTTACTCTATTGGTAATGTACACTTGATTGGGTGTACTTGTAGTTTAGGCTCCAATTAGCGATAATAAGATATAAGGGACAAGACATAAGGTGTGATTGGGATAAGTATCACTTATTGATTTAGTTATTATTTGCTGTGAATTGTTTTGATTATGAAAAGCTGATATTTCCTTGCTTGAGAATGGTTTGTGAAAGGATTATGAAAAATAAGTTTGTGTATCTAAATATAGTTTGCAAATTAATTTTTAATTGATATGCCAGTGTAAGTTAGAATTTCAGTTGTTATTTAGACATTAAATTTAACATGTTTTCTCTTACCATTTTTAGGTAAGCAATCCAATAGTATTTTGGGAAAGGCATGAGAGTAGTGAGCTATTAGCTTCTTATCTCACGGTTTGGCACATGCTTTTGTTTATGATTTTGTTGCCATGATGTAGAGCTTAATTGTATTACAAACATTTTTTTTTTGTAATTATTGGGTTTTTGTTTTGGATAATGTTATGAAAATTAGGGGTTCGTCTTGCCTTGTTGGTTGGGGTTCAAATGCCCTAGGTTTAATTGTTTTATTTTGGGATTATAGATACTTATTCTGAACATGTTTTGGTTAAATTGAGCTGGTAATATGTCATATTTTTTGTGGTTGTGACAGGTTGCAAACGTTTATTTGACTTATTTTAATTTTGGTGAGGCTGTTGGACACTATTCATTGAAAGCATTTAATTCACTATACAAAGTTATAAGGATTGTCAATTGGAAATTTAATCAACAAGTCAATAATATGATAAAATATTGTTAAAAAATTCATAAAATCATTAGCCAGTATCAATGATCACAATAAAATCAACCTTAATTATAAATTATACTGTTATTATTTATATTTTATTAAAATTATAAACTTTTATCCCAGTTTTATATTAAAATTGAAATTATGAAAACTTTATATGAAAACGCATTCCAAAAAAAAAAAAAGAGCTACTCAAAACTCTCAAATAAATTATATTTACTATATTTGTTTTAGAAATATTTATATAGTGGTTTTATAAATAAAAGAGGTATGCATATTTATAGTATCTAAAAATCAACAATTTAGTCAAATAATTAATGGATCATATATATATAGTCTATTAATATCAACGTAATTTTAAAATAAAATCATTGATTATTATTTATTTACCATTTACTAATGTGAAATTAATATAATATAAAATAAAACTTCTTAAAAACATTGAAATTATATTTCTCTTATTTTATACTTATATTTTTATTAAAAAAAATTGAATATCCTTGTTCAATATATTATATGGAACTATTTTCAACTTAAAGAAAATTAAAAGTAAAATGCGCCGTTAGATTTATTAATTTATTATTCTCATATATGATATTTTAGTAATTTAGCCCTTTTCTTCTTCCCCTCTCTTGAATGGTTTTCAGCATTGCATGCATTTTATGATTTTATGTTGAAAACCAATTTTATCTTCTAACAACCCCGATTTGTAATAAGCGTAAACCGATTTTCTAATTACAGCAACCAAATTTTAAATGTTTTTTTTTTTAAACAACAAAAAAACTTTGATGAGTAGAGTGAAGCCAAATAGTAATTTTTTTTCCTGAATAGCTCCAAATAGTAATTTAACATGAGAAGTTAATGACAATATACATTATATTGACATTGGCGCTTTGGTTTGGTTTTGGAAGGGATTTAAGGAAAGGCAAAAAGTGAGAGAAAGAATAATGACAAAATGACATCTCTTTAGAAATAGACCTTGCGATGTTTTTGTGAAAGCTTTTCTATTCTCATTTCTTATTTCTATTTTGTCAAAAGGATCCTGGGAGGAAAGAAGTAAAAGGAATCTGAGAATGAATTAAGCACAATATCATCTCAGAAAAGAAAGAAAAAATTTTGTACAATCTTCCAGGCTTTCTCTAAGCTGATGAGAGAGCTCTCTGAAGATACTTCAAAGCTTTCTGATAGTTGAAGAAACCCATGAACCAGAAATCAAAATCATCCACTGTCACTATTTCCATGTACTTCTGCGAAGGCTTCTTCACATTTTCACTCTTGCTGACACACTTGATCTTTTCAAGTGGAATCAAGACCTGCCAAAAGGCCCTAAATTACACATTGCTATACATGTTAAGCAAAGCTTCAAGAGACTAGATATAGAGGCTCTGTGAGCTACCTTGTAATGGATTCTTGTGAGTGTTCCTGTTGGAGAAGATACCTTGATGGATCTGTCACTGCAAAAGGCAACTTTATGAGTGGATATGAAGAGGAGGCCTGCTATAGGGCCAGACGTGGTTGATAGATAGCACTGTGATGCATTCAACAGTCTCTCTCCTTCTTTAACACTAAGCATTTCAATGAAAACTTTCTCCACTCCACCAACTTTGAGAATTTTAGACCCTAATCTTAGCTTCCCTTTTACTGTCTCACTCATCTTTGGCCCCACTCTCACTGCATATCATTTCACAACATCATTTATCAGTCAATTTTAAAACTTCATTGTATGCATAGCTCAGCTTGGTTAATCAAGAACACATGGTACATACCGTGTTCTCTGACTCCATTTACAAAACTGTCTGCTCTTCTGCTAAGCTTGTTCATTTTAGCAAGAACTGGATTCACTTTACCTGATGAGAATAAGATCAGACAGGCATTGATCAGATGAGGTTTCACTTTTTTTTTTTTGTGTATAATTTTATGAGAAACAATGTCTTACTTTTCTTTGAATTTGTGGTGGTGACAGGACCAGGCAAGTATCTGTTTGATGATTTCCCAAGCTTGCACGTTGCTGCTAAATGTTGAAGAAGTGATGCCTTCATGTTTAACATTTTCCCTTCACTGGTTCTGCCGCTATCTGTAATGAGATACCAAGGGAGATTTTCTCACTTGGGTTGATCAATCCTTGCATTCTCAACAGGCTTATATAGGGATAAAATGAGTGAAAGATGAAAGAAAGAGGATGTTGACTTTTATTTTGGATGAGTCACCTTTAGATCATCATGAAGAATAAAAGGAATATAACTACTCATTGGTTTGAAGATGGCTTGTTTGGTCTCTTTTAGAAAATGTCAGATCCATGTCATCATATCTAATATATGCAGATTTCAGATTAAATAAGGAGACCTTCTTCCCCACTAGCTAAGCGTAGTAAATTCTTAGCCTGCAAGGCAGTTCTTTAAGAAGCAATATCTTTATAGAAAGGAAAAATATTTCCTGAGACGGTGGTAGTTTAAAATCCCATAAAATAATGTTTGGTTGACAAAATGAGGCATTAAAGTTTCTATGATGTCCTATATTTGCTACGCGAATAAGTTGTTGAAGTTTTATGAGTTGGCATTTTTAGCTTTCTGATGCCAGGTTACTTTGAGCCTTTTTTTTTTTTTGGGGGGGGGGGGGGGGAGGGGGGTGGGTGTGTGAGAAAACCAAGTGAAAGAGGGCAGGAAAAAAGACGTGCTACATCAAACTGAATCACATCACATGACATGCTAAACAATAACATTCAGAAATTGTAACTTCTAACAAGAATCCTTTTTGATGTCTTCTTTTAGCCTTGAATTTTACGCTTTCTATGATCTATACATATATTTTTTTAAGGCTCTCAACTTTTCAATTCATTCACCTAAATTGACTTAATTCACTATACCGTGTGATGAAATAGGTGAGTCAGGTATGTATGGATGCCATGTGAGGAAAGAAAGAGATGGGACATATATATTCATTATTTTTTTAGGAAAAGGGAAAGCCAAATCATTCCCACATCAGCCACATGACCAAAAAATGTGTGCCCACACTCTAACAAGATTTTGTAATATGGAGTATGAATATCCAAGATTTCAAAACAACATCACAGCAAGGTCTAGAGAGAGAGAGAGTGAGAGTTTTAAATTGGAAAAATCTAGGTTCATTGATCCTAGTCAAGCATAAGCATAACATCTTTTTGGTGGAAATGTTTCCAAGTCTAATACATGCCCTCTCTTTCCGATTATGCAAATTTAACACATCGGCAAAGATGATTAACAAAGATGGTTTCATACTTTCATTTCCGAGAAAGCAGTTGTTATGATATTCAAATCATATCATGAAAGAGTCAACAAAAATCTCAAGGCGAAAGAATTTTTTTTTAGTAATAGTATTGACTTCTAGTAATTCCTACACAAGATCTTAGTTGAAATTGTATGATGTAGATGAACCGGATCCTCTCCCTATTTTGTGCTCAGTACTCCTCCAGCATTGGTTTGAGAGGAAAATCATCTCAGAAAAGAAAGAAAAAATTTTGTACAATCTTCCAGGCTTTCTCTAAGCTGATGAGAGAGCTCTCTGAAGATACTTCAAAGCTTTCTGATAGTTGAAGAAACCCATGAACCAGAAATCAAAATCATGTACTTCTGCGAAGGCTTCTTCCACATTTTGTCACTCTTGCTGACCACCACTTGATCTTTCAAGTGGAATCAAGACCTGCACAAAGGCCCCAAATTACACATTGCTATACATGTTAAGCAAAGCTTCAAGAGACTAGATATAGAGGCTCTGTGAGCTACCTTGTAATGGATTCTTGTGAGTGTTCTGTTGGAGAAGATACCTTGATGGATCTGTCACTGCAAAGGCAACTTTATGAGTGGATATGAAGAGGAGGCCTGCTATAGGGCCAGACGTGGTTGATAGATAGCACTGTGATGCATTCAACAGTCTCTCTCCTTCTTTAACACTAAGCATTTCAATGAAAACTTTCTCCACTCCACCAACTTTGAGAATTTTAGACCCTAATCTTAGCTTCCCTTTTACTGTCTCACTCATCTTTGGCCCCACTCTCACTGCATATCATTTCACAACATCATTTATCAGTCAATTTTAAAACTTCATTGTATGCATAGCTCAGCTTGGTTAATCAAGAACACATGGTACATACCGTGTTCTCTGACTCCATTTACAAAACTGTCTGCTCTTCTGCTAAGCTTGTTCATTTTAGCAAGAACTGGATTCACTTTACCTGATGAGAATAAGATCAGACAGGCATTGATCAGATGAGGTTTCACTTTTTTTTTTCTTGGTATAATTTTATGAGAAAACAATGTCTTACTTTTCTTTGAATTTGTGGTGGTGACAGGACCAGGCAAGTATCTGTTTGATGATTTCCCAAGCTTGCACGTTGCTGCTAAATGTTGAAGAAGTGATGCCTTCATGTTTAACATTTTCCCTTCACTGGTTCTGCCGCTATCTGTAATGAGATACCAAGGGAGATTTTCTCACTTGGGTTGATCAATCCTTGCATTCTCAACAGGCTTATATAGGGATAAAATGAGTGAAAGATGAAGAAAGAAAGAGGATGTTGACTTTATTTTGGATGAGTCACCTTTAGATCATCATGAAGAATAAAAGAATATAAACTACTCATTGGTTTGAAGATGGCTTGTTTGGTCTCTTTTAGAAAATGTCAGATCCATGTCATCATATCTAATATATGCAGATTTCAGATTAAATAAGGAGACTTCTTCCCCACTAGCTAAGCGTAGTAAATTCTTAGCCTGCAAGGCAGTTCTTTAAGAAGCAATATCTTAATAGAAAGGAAAAATATTTCCTGAGACGGTGGTAGTTTAAATCCCATAAAATAATGTTTGGTTGACAAAAATGAGGCATTAAAGTTTCTATGATGTCCTATATTTGCTACGCGAATAAGTTGTTGAAGTTTTATGAGTTGGCATTTTAGCTTTCTGATGCCAGGTTACTTTTGAGCCTTTTTTTTTTTTTGGGGGGGGGGGGGGGGGGGGTGGGGTGTGTGAGAAAACCAAGTGAAAGAGGGCAGGAAAAAAGACGTGCTACATCAAACTGAATCACATCACATGACATGCTAAACAATAACATTCAGAAATTGTAACTTCTAACAAGAATCCTTTTTGATGTCTTCTTTTAGCCTTGAATTTTACGCTTTCTATGATCTATACATATATTTTTTTAAGGCTCTCAACTTTTCAATTCATTCACCTAAATTGACTTAATTCACTATACCGTGTGATGAAATAGGTGAGTCAGGTATGTATGGATGCCATGTGAGGAAAGAAAGAGATGGGACATATATATTCATTATTTTTTAGGAAAAGGGAAAGCCAAATCATTCCCACATCAGCCACATGACCAAAAAATGTGTGCCCACACTCTAACAAGATTTTGTAATATGGAGTATGAATATCCAAGATTTCAAAACAACATCACAGCAAGGTCTAGAGAGAGAGAGAGTGAGAGTTTTAAATTGGAAAAATCTAGGTTCATTGATCCTAGTCAAGCATAAGCATAACATCTTTTTTGTGGGAAATGTTTCCAAGTCTAATACATGCCCTCTCTTTCCGATTATGCAAATTTAACACATCGGCAAAGATGATTAACAAAGATGGTTTCATACTTTCATTTCCGAGAAAGCAGTTGTTATGATATTCAAATCATATCATGAAAGAGTCAACAAAAATCTCAAGGCGAAAGAATGTTTTTTTTAGTAAATAGTATTGACTTCTAGTAATTCCTACACAAGATCTTAGTTGAAATTGTATGATGTAGATGAACCGGATCCTCTCCCTATTTTTGCTCAGTACTCCTCCAGCATTGGTTTGAGAGGAAAAAGATGTATCTCATTTGAAGAGCATAAATTAGAAACCTAATATATTTGAATCCAAACCTCTTTACAAGTTCAACATGTAAAGTTTGTGTTACCCTTAGGGTACCAAGAGGAATCACTTGAGTGAACATAAATTCAGGCCTCACAGAAAAATGGGCCATAGTATTACTACTAACAAACTCTTACTGTTATCTTGATCCAGTTTCTTGAGACAATACCCAATTCTTCATTTTTCTCTTGATTTCTTGACACTGGGAATAATCTGTCTTTTACCTTAGATTGATACTCCAAATTACTTATTAAAGTATTGAGAAAGAGCAACAACAGCAACAAGCCTTATCTCAATAGTTGGGGTTGGCAAGTACTGAGAAAGAGCACATGGACAATTTAATTCCCTGATGTAAAACATCTAACAATTTATAAAAAAGTAAAGAGATACACAAATTTCACAAAAAGAAGTCTAAATTTAAGTTAAGCACTATGAGTTGATATGGTAGAATTAGCTTATTAATGAAAAATAATTATGCATTTTATAATTCAATGCGGTATTTGATAGTGCTCCTCCTAATCTTTTAAGCGTTTGAAAACATTGCTCATAAAGGCCTGCATACTTTAGTATCCATTCCATTTAGATTTTAACAGAGATGGTCTGTGTCTAATTATCTCTGTATTTAAATGTTTTAAGGCTAGTTAGAGTCTTAAGTTTGGATGCAAGAGTTCAGGATATTGATACCAATAAATTAATACAAGAACAAAAACATGAAGAACAAAGTAACTTTTTCTCATCCACAAAATCATGTACAACATTTGGACTTATATTGGTCCCGTTGCCGCATTACAAAGTAACATCTGATGAAGCAGGGGATAAACAATTATACATGAACTTTCTCTTCTTCTAAGATCTAGAGACTGCATGCTGAAGGTACTTGAAATTTTTCTGGAAATTTAAGAAACCCATAAACCAGAAATCAAAGTTGTCCGTGGTAACAATTTCTAAGTACTTTTGGGAAGGCTTCTTCAGGTTCTTACTTTGGTTGACACTCTTTATCTTTTCAAGAGGAATCAAGACCTGCAAATGAGATAGATTTGATGGTTTAATCAGATTAGAAAAGCTCAATGAAAAAAAAGATTAGAGAGGTTTTATGCATATGATATTAAGGTTTGCAAGAATTACCTTATAGTGGATTCTCATCACGTCTCCTTCAGATGATGTGAGCTTAATAGATTTTTCACTACAAAAAGCAATCTTTTCTGTGGATATGAAGAGAAGTCC